AATTAATACTCAATTCTATGGATATAAAGTGGGATTTGGAAAACCTAAAGAATAGATTTTATACCAATTCCTAGTAATCATGCCACTTAGGTGTATAAACCCCACTGTATCAAGCTTTGACCCCATGTTCATCTCCCCTTCTATTTATTAAGGACAGAGCTCATTCTGTTGATCATAGAAGAGTTTAGGAGAGGGAGCAGAAAACATAGGGAAGGCATACATGGCGTGATATTGATTTGGTTCATCTTAATTTGTTGAAAACATCAACGTATAGACGAGCCGAATCAATATCACTCTTGTATGTTTTTCTTGGACGATGTCTTTTGATCCAACTTCTGTTACCAAAATCATCAAGCCACAAAATTGTTCTGGCTGAATGCAGGCACAAGGAAGAGCTTTGTCGATGTTGATGGTGATACAATCATAAAATATTGCCCTACCTAGAAGCTTTATATCCCTAATGTCATTGTCTTCCATCTTGTTTTCTATCTATGTTTGAGCTTATGTTGAGAGAACAATACATTTCTTTAATCATTAATCATGAATAGTAGTTTTTTTTCACTCATCATTTATCATACAGATTGGGGGCAACAGTAAAGCATCTCAAGTTGCACATTTACACAACAAATAAACTCTACACAAAAATCTTGTAAAGGAAAAAAAAGAAAGATTATGCTCATTATTGAGATACTATCAGGTATTCAGACTCACTCGCGAGTCCTTCGCCTATTTCCAGGTTGCAACCTTGTCCGGCCAGAGTAGCGTGGCTCTGAGCGGCTGCCTCTACCAGAAAAAGCTTTACTGTTTTCCGAATTGACTTCTCTAAATACAGGCTGTCTATTCATCTGTGCTGGAGGATTCATGCTCTTTGACTCGCCAACGTCATATGGAAGTGGTTGAAGTCCCTGCAAATCAGGCTCTGGAACAAACACAAAGGGCCGTTTGGTTTCATCCATTTTTCGGAAGGTAATGGAAATCCTGAGAAGTAGAAAGATGGCAAGGTTAGTACAAGCCAAAGTAACATTTTCGAACCCAATTAGCATGGAGAAGATTGAGCTGCATCCACGTACCTTTTGGTTAGAACTGCTGGCACACAATGCTTAGCAACATCTGCTCCATTTCCATTCAAAACCAAGACAGACCTGAAAAATGAACAACTAATGAGCAACCCTAAGTTATGAAACAGATGTTCTTAGTTAAACACACAAAAGTATGAGCCAAATTAACCAGTAGTTGACAGGAAGATTTTTCTTATAAAGCTAATACATGCATACACACAGGTTTTCAAGAGATTGAACTATGATTATAAAATGTAGAACCTGTTCTATCCAGTAAATGATTGCAATGGTCAGAGTCTTCACAAGCAATAGTGTAGAATTTGTAGTCAATCCAAAGCATATGATAGTAGCAATTCCAACAGTTGAAGTCAATGAGTTTATGTGTAATCGAAAACCAATTTATGATTGATCACGTCAAAACAAATATGTTTTCTGCACAAAATATTCATGAAATTATTTAGAAAGTCCTTAAACATCAATTAATGCTTCAATCATCATAAAAGCAAATCGCATTTCTCCATAACAATTCTACCTAAAACTATGAATGGAAAAGCATTTCTTCAACAGGATCTACAAAATTTCACTCTTTAATTCCGTCTATGTTCTTACACACCTATAAAAATCCAAGCAATTGTTGACATTATATGCTAAATTCGAGGATAAACCCCATTTCACAAACAACTGAACAAACCTTGTAAGAATTCA